AAAAATTTAGATATAGATAGATCTGAAAATAATTTTATTAGAACATTAAAATAATTATATGGGACGCTCAAGTTGGTTGTTAAAATACCAAAACTTTTTTTACATTGTTTATTATGCTTGCGCGTCCTACATAATTATTTTGATAATCCAAAAGAATTATATGTAGAATTGTATCTGCATTTAGCTAAATTTTTAGATTTTCTAGCAAAATCGTTCTTTTCGTATTCGCAAAAATAAATTAGCTTGTCCATCTTCTCAACTTTTTCGCCTCTATCACATTTACATTTATCGTGTGAATATAAATGTTCTTGCTCAATCATCATCTTACATAAATCTGTCTGGTCACGTTTTCAGATTCCGCTCCTTGATTAGGATGGATTTCAGGCATCAGCCAGGGAGTGACTCCGCCACCCACGTATTCAATTTTCCGAAAAGCTCGGGTGTTTGGTCCATCGCTGCTCGTGAGTCTCGCAGTTGCACAAAGCCGCGGCATGACGTCCAAGGTGTTCCATCAACAATAGCGGAATACGGCATGGAAAAGAAATCCTTATGGTCCCCTCTGCCCGTTGATCCCATCGATTCACGGTTCACTTAGTTCGAGTCTTCCCTCGACATTTGTCGTACAACTCACTTCGATGTTGTTACATAACGATTCTCTGTCCACGAGACATCAAATCCCACCCGTCGTCGGTAAACCGGCATATATTTTTCTCGGACTGCTCTTGATCGTTCACATAAACTTTATGGGTAGCCCGTTTCATTTTCTTCTCGAATCTAGTAGTAGTTCTTCGGAGCTACCATCATAGGATTCCGTCGCGCCGATTCTACCCATAATTATAGCTCCGAGTGAGCTCAATAGAAAGACATTTTAAATGATGGTAAAGCATAAAAAACTTGCGTAAGAAAAATAGGTTTGTATGTTATGAGTGCTGTATAATTAATATCAAAAAAAGCAATTTTAGAGAAGTTATATAATCTCTTTTTGAAATACACAATATAATTATAATATATCCTAACCGTCATTTAACAGTCCTAATCCTATGCGTTTTATTTCTGCCTATCTTAAGTTCCGAAGCTTTATTATTTTATTCATCGAAATTAATACGAGAATAATTCGTGACACAAAATATTCTAAAATATGCTTCTCGAATCCAGGTTGCTCCGAGCTGATCCACGTGGAGTCTTTCATGTAGCAATAACTCTAAAATTTGATTGCAGCAGACATCGGGATAGGGGCTACCCCCAAGGCAACTGTGGTAATAGGCCCTCAACCCTCGCACCCACGCTCTTTCCGTTCTCGAACTAAACTCCGGACCAGCTCCGCCACTACCATCACCACTACGTCGTAAATAAAACGAAATTGTTGACCGGTACCTTTCGGCTGGTTAAGCGTTAAACAAAGGCCCACAGGATATCGGGCGCCGTATCTTTGATCTCTGTTTGCCGAGGCATGCATCACCCGCGAGATAATCAGGAATAATTATTTGTTAGATAAATACGATCGCAGCCGGCGATAGCGCGCTAAATTTATGATGGACCACTTGCCGTTTGTAAATGACGCAGAGGAGAGAGCTCGTTCGCGCGCGCCGAGCTATGAATATTGCCACTCGAAGCGCGGAGCATGAAAGTCGAGCGTGTGTTAAGAAGTTTGTGCGAATTCTAATGATAATGAATTACACATTTAGATACATAAGTAATTTGAATCAAATAGATTGATTCAAACATTTAAATTATTTCGTTAAATTTCTATCTGGCATTATTTCTGAAACTCGAGAATAATAAAGTAAAGAGAAACCTCGTAGATTAAGTCACGCGTCTGAAGTGACTTTAATATCGTGTTCTACCTGCAAGTGTATATTAGCGCGTGTTGACGCGTATATGTATATATGTATATATGTACGCCGAGTGATAGACATGCCTCTTGCCGTGTCTGACTCTTGCGTAACGCTCGGCTAACTCGAATAGCCTTTCTCGATCCTCTCAATGATCGAGCTTCGCCAGTGAATCGTTGCATCTCTGCTTCGCATTCCTGGCATACCAAGTGAAATCGATGCGTCCGCATCGATGGAGAGTAATTCTCATGCAGATATTTTCAAGCACAGACGCCAAACAAACGTGCTTGATTCTCACGGTTTCCCATCGTAATTTCTAAATGATAGTATCACACTAGATGTATTATATCTGTCAGATACATTTATTTTTTCCTTCTTTTTGCATTCTTTCAAAATACGCGGCAATAATATATACATTTTATTCTCTAGATATGCAGAGAAAGAGGGATAAGAAATAAATAAAAAAAAAGATTGTAAGTTTTGCTTTGGTTTGAGCGAATGATATGATATAACTTAATCTTCTTGAAAATGTGAAATTAATTCTACGTAAAATTAATTCTTACAAGCCCATCAAATTTATGAGTCAGAATTATTCTATTTTACACCATGGTCAAGATCCAGCGTTTGAAAATTTCCAGAGGAGGTCTACTACGGTCTACCGTGTCGTACATCAACGTCTCGCGGAAGGTGGGCGGACGTCGCGTCAGCGGCTGACGCCCCGCGAAATTGAATCTAAAGTCCGAGTGTATCCCCACATGCCAGTCCTCTCCACGGAGCTGCAGGGAGGTCGCAAATCATCACCTCGCTACATTTACAACGTTAGATAGCCCAAGATTACAGTCGTTCCAAGCTCATCCCTACGCTGTAGAAACACAAGGCACCTCTCCTCACCCTTCGTTTTCCCTCGGTTAGGATATTACAGCGTCCCTTCGCGAAAGCGATCCTTTGCCGTTCTCGCGGACTCGTTGCCTACTTAAAGCGAAACAATGTGGTCCCTCGGCGATCAGCCGCGCGAGTAACGTCCAGCTCGTAAATTATCCGCCGGCGGGGACTAATGAGCTCGTGATTATAGGGACTGGGGATAAAAAAGGGCGTTCTTGCGAATGCACGATGACGTTCGCGCTGGTGATATATCTCCGGTTCGTTGTTGCGCCTAAAATGTATACGCAATTTTTTTTCCCAACGAGGTAGAATGAATACGACCGGCAACCGGCCTTACGTGGTTCCGGAATCAAGCATGGATGTGTCGGATTCGATTAGATTTAGCAAAGTGACGTGGGTTCGAGAGGATTCTCATAATTATTACGAGGTATACATGATGTTTCTAAAACAAAGATTTGTACGTCTTATCATCGTTATCTGACTGAACATCTTTAAGCCGCTTACGCGAAATGTAAAACATTATCTACTTGTTTATTTGAGATAAAAAATCCCACGCAAGCGGCGCTCACTTCACGATTCCCCGTTCTTATCTCCCATTTGGAAAGATTAAGAAAATTCACCGTATTACGCGACCTCGCGTAAAGATCTCGGGCCATTATTTACGAACTAAGGCCTGATGATCTCGAGAGGATCTCAGTTGTATTCCGTTTGCCAATAGGATTTGCTCCCGGCCGGTCAAACAATACGCCCTGAAGCGCGCCATCAGTGCCAAGTCTCTCTCTCTCTCTCTCTCTCTCTCTCTCTCTCTCTCTTTCTTTTTCTCTCTCATATTTCTCTTAAAACGACGCGAGCGTTCACGTGTGGCAACAGAAAGGATTGGAAGTAGGTATTCTCTTGGTTTTTTTGTTCGCAAAGGACTTTGGTCTCGCACACGAAATTCCAAACATCTTCCTTTCTCTTCTTCTCGCCCAACAGCCTTTCCATATCCTCTCGCGTGATTCGCAAAACATACGCGAGCAGATACGGATTCACCCTCTCTTGGTCGTCTTAAGCCGTTCCCGCGTTTTTACATTCTTGACGAAATCCCCGCGGCTTTGTGCCCGTTTATTACGTTTGCCAACCAAATGATGTCATTAGATATACTTAGGCTGGGTTTTATTGTCGTCTTTTATGCCGGTCGGACGGCTTCCGTGAAACGAATTCGTGCTGAGCGTTCACGACTCATCGGTTATCACATCGAAATTCGTTCGCTGTCTTGCTCACGTTTCTTGGACAGGCAGCTTAACGACCTTTTTCTTTTTCTTCTCACGATCACGTGAGAACCAGATATACTGTTTTATTGCTGGATATTTCGAGGCAGCTTTCCATGTGAGACTATGCGTCTTGTACACGCGTATCTTTTTACGATAAGCCTTTGTGCGTTACATGCATCTCGAATGCGAGGAAACACCAGTGCAAAGTACATGGATGATGAATCATGGATTTTAGAATATGAGAACTGACGCGGTTGTCCGATCAATGGCTTGCTACGAAACTGTGTGTGTGTGTGTGTGAAATAAATAAAGTTTATAGTAAATTAATTAAATAAAATAAATAAATTAAGTAAACTTTGACGAGAGTAGAATATTGCAAAATTTTCGTATCTTTGTGATAGCACGGTACATATCATTGATAAATATTTATTGATATTCTTATCTTTGTTTAGATAATTTTTATTTGTATTTTAAATGTTCTTCCAAAATTCACAAAATTTCATTTTTTTCTCTTTCGAAAGTATCATAAAAAAATTTTATTTATTTTGTTTAGCTGTGAAAATATTATTTTTTAATTTAATTATTTATTCGTGAAGATAGCTATTATTAAAAAGATACTAATATTGATACTAGAAATAAATAAAAAAAAATTTGGCCCATGAGGGGATCGAACCCGCGACCTTCGCGTTATTAGCACGACGCTCTAACCAACTGAGCTAATGGGCCTGTTGAATGGGAGATATAACTTTAGTAATTTCCTGTCCAACGTACATGTATCATGACATTTGTTATTTAAATGTAATGTAATTAGAAAATCAATTTATTAAATAATAATCGTGAAATTAATATAAATAATTAAAATATTTATATAATTAAGAATATAAAATCGAAGATATTCTATAAAATGATTAAAAAAATGTATTGCAAGAATTGATATTCTTCTTTTTCAGATGTATTGACATTTCTGACCATTAAAATTATTTCAAATTTATTAGATAAATTTATAAGTATAAGTTAAATTTACAAGAGCAAAATGCCGATCGAATTGCCTGTTGATATGTTAAATAAACCTTTGTCAGAGATTGTTTTCAGAAGAAAAAATAATGTTTTATTCAAGAAATTAGCTCAAAAGACTCATTTCAATGTGAGAGAAATCGAAGGTTATTCAATAATAAAATAAAATAAACACACATACTTTTCATATATCAACATTTTTAAAGATTTAATGTAATTTTTATATATGTTCGATTTATTATAAATTATAATTTTACTGCAGCGTTAGCTGTTATACATAGAAAAATAACACAAACTTTGGGTCCTATGACAAGAATGGTATTTAGAGATGTTTTGCATTCTGGTTTGGATTTTACTGAAAACATTCGGCATCTATATATCGACAGAATTTTCTCTGCATTTGACAAGAAGAACGTGTTGCAAGTATGAGAAATTATATAATATAAAGTAATTATATAATATATATAAAATTATATAATATATATTCCTCTCTTCTGTCCCCTTGATCAAGCATCGTTAGATTGTGCTCAGCGAAACGTAGCGGTTTACACAATTATTAGGAGAAACTCGCCAATG